CTGACACAAGCCCCGCACACGCTGGAGGAGTGCATCTCGAGGTTGGCATGTCTCTCTGACATGGCTATCAGAATTTGTGTCCCAATGGGCGGCATGTTGTGGAATTCCGGCAACGCTATCCAATTCCGACATCGCACTTAAAGCTTCAACAATGAAGCAGACAGAGCACTCCAAGTCGTCTTTGACCCGGGCCTCTGCCAAGCGCCGCTGCCGGAGCCGCTCCAGGAAGGCTTGGGCTCTGGCACGCCCCTGGGAGCTTAGATTCAGGCCCTCCTAGCTTAGAGGGCTGCTCCTATGCTTCGAAGGGGTCGCACCAAGCAAGATACAACAAGTAGAAACACCCCAGACAAGCTCTGCAAATAAGCGAGACACCACATGGCTACGGCAATATAAATGGAAACGAACGACTCTCTGCTAAATGCTGCCGCAGGCGCTGGCTGTGAGAAGGCCTGTTCATCCTGTCACGTCACATGAGGTGGAAAAGATTCAACTCCGAAACACCCACCCCCTCCTGCCTGGAACCCGGATGCTTCAGCAGCTGGGGCCTCTATCACAGATCATCACAGCAAAACCTAGTAAAATCCCACACAACATGAGCAAACCATGGCATACTCGGCCATCGAGAAGGCTTCATAGCGTCAAAGTGCCTCTTTCAAGACAAATCCACCCTAATCCGAACTGCCGTTTCCGTCTGCAGTTCTTCGCACTGGCCTTCACACAACCGACATCACACTTTGCGGCGGTTAAAAGCTGTCAACTATCACGAAGGTCAGACAGGCGAGGCCAAGATCTGGCATCGTCATCCCGCGTCAGGACTCAGGGGTGTCGACCACTTACAGGGATCGACAGTCTGGCATGTTGCGGAATGGAATATCTGAGACTGGGAACTCCGGGGGGGGCGGTTGAGCTTGTTCGGGAACAGTTTGGACGAGGAACTCATAGACATCAACCACAAAACTCCAAAAACCGTAGATTACAGAAACCTCGAGACCGAAGCATCTGAGCGACAACCAATGTCGCAGGCCTCATTTGATCGGGAACTCGGCTTCGAGCAGGCCACAGGTGGCGGAAATGCCTCTCACAGCTCGACATCACCCAAAAGCACAAAGGAATGCTGAAGTCGCAATCTGGCGCATGCAACACGAGCCGCTGTCGTTCGTCCCAGTTCGAGCTCAAGCAGGGTAAGCCGCTTCTCGTAGCCGGACTTTCCTCAGCATGGCCCGGGGTACAAGCTGGGTGCGTTTCCTGCCTTCTGCGCCTTCTGTGACGAGCCCAGCTTCGCTTCGTCCACTCGCTGCCAGCATCCTCGAGGAGCTGGCCAAAGTGGGCCATCAGCGCATGGGGCTGAGAGCCTGAGCCTGCACACAGTTGTGCCATGCCATGCCATGCCTAAACTGGCTTATACCAGAACCCAACTGAACAAGCAGGAAGTAAAGGATGCAAAGGAGAGGATCGGCATAACCAATAGCTCGTGACCTTCGGAACTCGGGCGGCGTGACCACGAACGGGAAGCGGCAGCGGCACGCAGAAGCCGCAGTTGCACTAGTGGCACCAGCGCAGTTAGCGCAACTGCCCGGGCCTGCTGCAGCTGTTGGATTACAGCTAGTGCTGCACTCAGCCGGTCCGGCCTGCAAGAGGTTCAGGCGGCACTCCACAAATGCACAACCATACCTGAGGCGTGTGGCACGAAACGTATACTGCATATACAATCGCAGGCCTCCTCCGCTCCTCTCAAGAAAGCACTTGCAACCGGGCGTCGATTGCAGCACCATGGATTGCAAAGATTTGCCTGCTGCGGTGGCTTGCTCGCCCTCGGCATCCTGGAACTGCCCTTCCACACCATCCGTGCCATCTGCAACAGCAACAACCTGCCAGGAGTCGCATTGGAAGCTCATCGCCGAGCTAACCCAGTTCAGGGCCGTCGGCGACACAACTCCTCGAGCCTGGCCGATCCAGGTCAACACTGGCATCCCCAAAGCGCTTCACTCACAACCCCTAAAACCGTCCGCTGCTGGAAAAAGGAAATGAAACCGGCTACAACGCTTAATTAGTTCCAGTATTCAACCATGGATCCAGCGGAGTGATCACCTCCAGCTGTTCGAACGAGTTTACGAAGCTCCCCGCCAAGGACTGAAAAACTTCCCACTGAGCAGCACCCGCACATACGCAGCAACTTGGCTGCAGTGGTGGCAGGAGATAATTGAGGGCTGTCAGGCCGTGCTGATCTTCAGCGGCCTCCCACCCCCGCATTCGGCGGGAGAGATAGCGGGCACGAGCACCTTGTAAAGAATTCCGAAAGGGCGAAGCATCACCACCTCCACCTGTAAAAGCACGAAGATACGTCCCAGCACACAGGCTGTGCATGGAGCTCCGGCCCCAGCCGTCTGGCTGATGCCATTGCGCCCCGGCCCATTCCAGCAAGGCCAGATGGTGCAGTTGAAGGGGGCGCTCAAAGAATTGGCTCTTCCGAATAGCATGGACGGCAAGCTCATGTACTTCCTTGCGGGCACGGCTTGCGGCCGTAGGGCACCCCAAGCTCGCGAGCAAGCCGGGTACCGACACAACCTTGTTTCCGCCAAGACCGTCTAGGCGAAAGTGCGAAACCTTGTGACTGTCACCTTCACAGCCTTCAGCTTGCGTGCACAGCCTGCACAACAGCCGGGAGAGCCTGGGCATGTCCAAGGCCTCGTGCGGCCTGAGAGGGCGCAAGTGCGGTGGCAGGCGTCGCTCGATGGTGACTTCATCCATCGAGGGGATCTTCCAGGCTGGTGGACAGAACTGAAATGCCTGGCAGCGAACATGCGACAGAAATCGCCGATCGAAAGTAGACCTGTCTGGCCAAGAAGCTGCCAAAAGAAGCGTGCCCCACCATCCATGGTCCTACCAAATAGATCTTCGTGTTTGCATGTTATCCAAACATCTAAGTTTGCCGGTCTTCGTCCGATTTGTTACAACCTTGGCAACTCAGATGCACGATGCATGTCGTCTCGACCATCTCGGAAGCTATGACCACGAAACTGCTATAACAACGCAGCCTGTCCTTCTTTTCCTACACGTACCGACTAGGTCAGCCAGCCACGCGACATGTTTGGATGCGACAACGGTGCAAGGTCCTTCTGTTCCTTTGCCTCCACCTGGCTGCTGGAAGTACAGAAGACAGAGACCAGGTGCTCCTCCACAAAAGCTATAATGCTGGACCGGGGTGCCGGGGGAAATGCATGGAAGTCCTGCAAGCTGCAAGCTAGCTCGGTTTGGTGAACAGGTCGCCTTGACCTCTAGCTGCCAAGACTTCTCTCCGCGCCTCGTCCTGCGCATCCGGCCGTAAGAGTTCTGGAGGCAGCGGAGGGGACTTCCGGCGCTGGCTCACCTCCCCCACAATGATCCTTCCCTCACACTTCATACTCTTTCCACGCGACCCGGCCACTGTATAATATGTTCTCCCGCCGCCATATTTCCCCGCACAAATATCAACATGCGAAACGACCTTCCTCGACTTGATCCCCTTATGACCAGAACTCGAAGAGGTTTGATTAGTATCTGTACGGTCGACTGGCCCGTCAACGCTCAATTCTTGGAAGTTTCAAGGCGACAAGTGTCAAGTGTGGCCTCTGCTTTACAACGCTGGAAGAAAGCTAGCGGTTTGGACGTGGGTTCAGAGCCACAAGGAACCACCTTGGCGAGAGAGATAAACGATTGCAGCCGGCGCCTCAGCTCTGCACCACAGCGGGTTGATCATCCATCTGATGTTTCACTGACACAACAGGAGCTTCGAAGCTGCCGTCGGTCTCTCCACTGTCTCATATTCTTTTTGTTTTTGATGCCCTGAACTGGCTGCTCTGGGCTTCGGTTCGGGATCCTGTGGACGGATAGTACCTCAATGGGCTGTGAGGCTTTAGCTTGATCTATGCCACGAAGGCTGGTGAGCCGCGGCATGGCCCGGGCGGATTGCAGCACTTACCTAGCCGAAACCCATGTGTGTGCCGCCAACGCATCTCCAGAAACGCCTTGACCGTGAGAAGGCATATGCAAACAGCGAATCAGCAACCCTGCTAGGCTTTCGGATACCAGCCCCCACAGCTCGCAAGCAAACAGGTGCAGGAGCCCGCAGCTTGCGCTGCACGTCCGACGTCAAAGATCTTGCCCTGGCCAGGTTGGCCTGACAGCCGTGGAGGTGTCCTAGACTCCAGAGTACCGCACAGTCTGTAAACTTCTTGCTACGGGACGAAGCATTTGGATCAGGCACAGCCGGCTAGTGCCAGTACACCAGTCCGAGAGGTGCTGTCGACCAACAGGAGTTGGATTCTGAAACCACTCTCGTATGGCTACATCATGCGGCCTCTCAAGTCAGTCAACACAAAGCCACTGCTCTACAAGCACATAGGCTCTTCTGCTGCTGCACCGCACTGGCACCTGGTACTTGGCCATCCAAGCTTCTCGATTTTCTGGCCTCAGTTCACAAAGCGCAGTTTCTCCGTCCGTCCTTCTGCAAGGTTGGCTCGCCTTTAAGTTTGTGCTTACCGGCTATAACCAGGCAACCTACCCTGCTGCGGATTGGCAGGCCGGATGTCTTTGCGCAAAGGCTCTCTGCTCCCGAATCAGATTGGTGGGGCAACTCGGAGGAAGTCGCCGCGGGCGACATGACCACAGAATTGGTTCCAATGCTCCAGCTTCTCCTGGCGTGAGAGCCATTGCAGTTGAGGTCCAAGCTTCCACTTGAAATTCTCCCATATGCGATGCTCCGGCTCCGTCCACGCGACTTCAGCAACAGCAAGGAGTCTCGGGAAGAGCATCTCCTCAGCTCTTTCCTCGGAGTCCACGGTCTCGGTCCAGAGATTCGCCTGCAGCCCACGGATCTGCTTTAAGGCTGACTCCTCGAGCCCCATACGCCGCAAACGATCCACGGGCTCGTAGTCGAAGACACGCTGCAAAGGAAGCGCCGGGGCGGCCCAGTACAGCCCCCGCTCCTCGTAGCTCAAGCTCTGGACAATGTCCAAATAAAGGAAATGGGCCGGGCAAAGAACGACGTCGAGCCCCGCATTTGCTGCCCGAACCGCAAAGCGTTCGTCCTCCTTCCAGGCAAAGGCTGCCGGTCGCTGCTCAGTGTCAGGATCGATCGCCGTCCCTGGAGTGAAGGCCTCTTCCCAAGCCATCATCGAGCGACCATGCTTGGCTAGAAAGGTCTGCAACCAGAGGGTGAGACCATCTTTGATTTCCTCCTCCTCCTCTGCACGCTCGCTCCAGGCACCTCGAGGGATCTCGTCCATTCCCACATGAACTGGTCCAGGGAAGAGCTCCACAACCTCCGTCAAAACAGCTTCCAGGAACTTGTAGGTTTCGGCTGCGAGGACGTTTAGAACGTTGCCCCTGAAGCCTTGGACACTCACGGGCGAGGGCTTCAGTTTGTTCTGCCTGTCTGCGCTGCGCCCCAAAAGCTCTGGAAGGGCCTTGATGGCAGCGTAGCAGTGTCCCGGGACATCGATCTCTGGGATAATCGTGATTCCTCGCTCTTTTGCATACTGCACAACCTCTCGAATCTGCGAGTGGCTGTAGAAACCTCCATAGCGGTGCGGTCCTCCGCCGTACTGCGGCTCAATTACCTCTCCACGTCCGCGCCAGGAGCCGTAAAGCGTAAGGTTCGGAAGCGATCGCACCTCAAAGCGCCAGCCTTCATCATCTGTAAGATGCCAATGGAAAGTGTTCAGCTTGTACAAGAACATCCAATCAAGAAGGCGAAGGATGAAATCCACACTGAAAAAATGCCGCCCCACGTCCAACATTAGGCCTCGGTGTGAGAAGCGCGGCTTGTCTCGGATAACCTGTGCCGGCACCGAGATCTGTCCTTCACCCAATGCAACACCTAGGAGCTGTCTGAGGGTGGCGACACCATGCAGAAGTCCAGATGGAGTTGGGGCCGCGATGGCGATGGCATTGTTTTGTATTCGAACCTCGTAGCCCTCAGATTCGAGATCCGTATCTTCAACGAGCGTCAACGACAGATTTCGGGTCTCCCCTGCAGCGACTCCATCAGGAACCCCGAACGGAGCACCTGGCGGCCAGTTCAGCAGCCATTTGTGAAGGAGCACAGCTGCACCGCGAGCTTCCTCATCGGCCTGAATCTTGAGCGGGGGCTGCAACCCAGCCATTAAGTCAAATCCTGGCCCTGGCAAGGCTGTGACCGATTGAGGCTGCGGGACACCCGAGAAGACGGGAGGGCTTTTTGCATCCGCGGAGAGGCGAACTTGTGCTTCTCCGGGTGTAATCAACTCGACCTCAAACACGGCCTCGGCCCCCTCGGCCTCCAGAAGCGGCGTTACGATGTGCAAGGCTCTCGGCAAGTCAGAAACATATCGCATGGCGGGGGCTCCAATCTCGATCACGAAGGCATGAACACCCCCTGGTTCCAGTGGCTCATGTCTCGGAAGACAGACATAGCTGCCACTGACCAGTGCATCTTGCGGCTGTCGCAGCACAACAGCCTTCAGCCAAGTAAAGCATAACTGCCAATTTGCCACAGCCGGAGCTGACCATCCGCTTGAAACAGACAGAATTATCGCCGAGCCTTTTGAATCCTCATCGGCGATGACTTGCAGTGTTGCACGGAATTTCGTGGTGCGGTCTGCTTGGCCGCCGAAACCGATGATGAAGATCGGAAAGAATCTACAGAGTATCCAGCTCAACATTGTCAAACAGAGGCTGCGAGACCGAGCATCCAAACCAGTCGTAGAAGCAAAACCCGCCCCACCTCCTACAACAGAATGCATGTCAACTCCAGCAATGTCTCTGGGGCGAAGTGGGTTTTGCTGGAGAAGACAGGGTGTAGCGGGGCCCCGGTAAGGCGAAGCGCTTATCTACTTCTGCCAAGTCCAGATTCTAGGTCTCTGGCATCTACGCCTGCAATGCCCGGCTTCCTCCACGAGTTCCGGTCATTCTATCGAACATCCTGTTCTGAAGGATTTCACGAAGTGTTTCATTCTTCATTACCCGTTCGTGACTACGATGCCCTGTCTTCGTCAGCACCTGCCGCCACCTCTAGATTCCCAGTTAAGTCCCAAGCATTGGGGTTTGGGTTGTTGTGGTTGCTCGGTTCTGAGCACGGTTGCGATGGCACGCGGAAAGCTTTTCTGTGCCGCTGCTACTCTACCGGCACACTCAAGTCCGAACCTCGGCGAGATTCAAGTCGCCCGGCACGAACGACCCTTCAACCTCAAGGAGTTGGGTGTACATGGGTGCCACCGGCGCCTTCTGTGCAACAAACAGCAGCCAAGTCCACGTTGGCGTTTACAGCTCGAGAAGGTGTGCCAATAGTGTACGAGAATCCGTCGGACGGCATGAAGCCCGTTGCCTCAGCCCGTCCAAGACAGAAGGCTCTCCCCATACGGAGCCAAGCTCGTCGAGGTGGCACTGTGAAAGAAGAAAGGCTTGATCAGTCGATCGAAGCGTTCAGCAGGACCAACCAGCGACCTTACAGACAGCCAGGTCACGCTGGATGAGAAGGTGCGTGAGTTTCATGCCAGATCAGTTGAACGAGTGGAGTCTGTGTAGCCACCGAACAGCCACAAGCGCCATGAACCCAGATTGCATGCAGCATCGTCAAGCTTCTTGTGAATGGGTCCATCATTCTGCGAAGCCATTCGCCAGGAATCTGCGATGTTAGCATGGCGTTTGAGAAACGAATGCCAACTTGCTCGACCTTCTTGTGCCGCAGCTCGATAAACAATTGCCAAGTCATGCGCTGTGCCGTTCACGAGAATGTCCAAGGGCATGGACTTCGGAAACCGAGAGCTCAAGAACTCGTAGATCAGCGCTGGCCTGTGGGGCAGCGAGGCCCAGTGCAGTATGAGCGGCAGAAGTGCGCAGGGTCCTCCATATTTGAACTCGGGAGGCACCCAAGCCTCAACGTATCTCCTGTGCTTCGCTCTCGACCAAGTATGTAAAGGCAAATAGCCAGCACCCCGAGGCTTGTTTCTGGACAGTGATCCCCGGTACAGAAACAAGCTCGCGAGAAGGAGGCCCACTTCAGGACCCTCTCTGGGGCGCAGGAACTGGACCCAGCGACTCCCATCACGTCCTTCACCCACTAGCCGATCCAGCTGCTGACGCCAGCACATGCAATAGTTTGCGTAGCTTGTATCACCTAGAGGCTTTCCCAGCACAAGATGAGGTAAGCACTGAGACGAGTAGCTGGGAGGACCACCACGGAGAACTGCGGTCTCGAGGCCTAAGAGTTCCAGCAACGACTCGGCCACGGCCGCCTGGTAACCGTAGGGAAGCCGAGGCCAGCGCCGTTTTTCCCTTGCAAGCTCCACGAAAAGCCGCCCCACGGAAGTGTTGCGGACCACGATGAAGCCCGCATTCGCGCAGTGGTGGTGGTAATCCTCCCGAGGGGAATCGCGGAAGACGACGTGTGGCAGGTCACCGCTGCTCTGGCGCAGAATGAGCTGCGTGAAGGAAAAACTGTCGAAGCAACAGGGCGAGATTGTCAAGTCAAAGTCCACCCACACGGTCCAGGGGCTTTTTGGCACAGCTTGTGCCAGAGCCTCCAGGGAGTCCCAGTAGCCAGGCGGCTGCGTGAAAATCACTAACTTCTTCTGCAGCACCTCATCAATGTGAGACCATGCGAAGGATTCCGATGGAACTTTTTTGCGAGTGTCCTGTGGGATCAAGTAACCGTAGTCGAGCCAAAACTGACCATCTTGCTCCGACGAGCTGGCCCAGTACAAGTCCAAAAACCTCGCAAAGACAGCTCCGGTAAAGTGTCGCTCCTGGTCGAGCAGGAAACCGTGAGCTTGGGTTTCAGCAAAAGCTTGCCAGGCCCGGATCTGTCCACGCCACACACCGGAAGCACTCTGCTGGTCCGCATGGACACCTATGGTGAAATCTTGGCTGTGCAAAACAATTTGAGACTCTGACAGAGCAGAGGCCTTGGCCAAAAAGGGGCGGTGCTGATGCAGCACGGCCAAGATGTGCTTCCGCTGCAACGATCTCACTTTTTCCTCAAGCCTGGAATGGTAGCTGAACATGACCCGGTCAACAGTTGCTTTCAGATCGTACCCAGGCGATGTTAAGGCACCCGTGAAGAGAAAGAGCTTTCCAAGGCCACACGACTGGACAGAGGAGCAGTTCTGCACCTCTGCTGCCAACTTGCTCAGCACGCCTAACTGCAGCCACCAGCCTGGATGCAGTATCGCTCTTTGTGCATAGAGCCCCTCGCACGACTCATGTCGAATATCAAACCTGTTAAAGTTGAACGGATGGCATACCCGGCCAGGCCCAAGCGGGAAGCTCATGTCTTCAGAAGCGCTGGCACAAGTAGTTCCGCTCCATTACACAACGATGCAGCCAGCTCTGCAGCATTGCTGTCGCGGGATCCCCTTGCTACAACGGACGTGCTCTGAATGGCATGGTGATCTTGGATGGTCCGAAGGCGTCTTGCTGTGGGCTGCAACATCAGGAGCCACTGTGACTAAAGCAGCAGACACATCTACTGAAAGAAGGCTGTGCAGACAAACTGCTCGTGAAGCCTATGCCTGAGGAAGCGACGGCGACGCCGTCTCCGTTGCTTCATTCTCTGCTGGCTGTGAAGCGGCTTCCTCAGCCTGTGCCACAAATACCATCTAATATCATAAACAGGGCGAGGTCGTCTTAGAGTGGCAATCGAGCGAAAATCTACTTCACTCCTGGGATCTCCTGAGCATGGCACCATGTTGCACTGCGGTGCAGAATCACCTTGGCTCCAAAAGAACGTCGAGAAGTTGCACCGTGATGCAAATGCTGAGCTCGACATACGGGAGCATGCCGCAATGCTACGAAAAAGGGCACGGTCGAGAACCAGGCACAATGTCCTGAACAGGCCGCAGGCCGGCAAGCACAGGCGCACTCTACAGAAAGCAGCCGCTCTGGGGCACGATGAGTGCTTCTGACTACTGGAGCTGTTGGTAGTTTGGGCGAGCCATGTATTAGTGTTGCGTCTGCTCAACAGGTAACAGTACTTTGACCCACGTCTCGCAGCATGGCATAACCTTGGAGCCCCGAGACAGCTGCAGAATCCCTCCAGATCACGACCATGCATCCACGTTAGATTGCATGCCGTCCACAAATCCACAGAAACACTTTCTTCGATGTCTTCTTGGCTTTCGTAGGAACGTGGCGCTGTGGCCGGCTGTTCTCGCAGTGCATCCTCTGGCGTAATGAAAAGCAGCGTGCCTTGCCGGAATCCAAGCAGCACTCTGTGGACTCGCACATGCTCTTTTGCGCAACTCGCAGAGCCATGAGCCATGGCACGTTTTCCCTCGAAGTCCAAATCCACTCGCTGAATGCGCTCGTCCAGCTGTTGCAGGTACTCCAGAAGCTCCTCGTAAGTCCTTCATGATACTGCTTATCTGACTTCGCTGTACCAGTAGGGGGCAAGAGTACAGTACTCACCCAAACCGCAAAGAGTCGAAGAGTCTTTTAGACTGAGCACAGAACACAGCCGGACGGGGTACTTCGGGGGTCCAAGCGCTCCTGACCGGCCGGCCGCTGCGCAGCTTGCGCTTCGGAAATTCTGACAGGGCGTCGTAAGCTGCTCGTACATGGTTCACCCTTTGGCCCATGAGCCGGTCCCTCCCTAACATGACGGCTAGGGACTCTTAGAGCTAAGGCATGGCACCTGCCGAGTAGACGCAGCAGGGCACGATGGCACAGGGCTTTCGCAAGGCAAGTGCCAAGCGAAGGGCCGGCTCCGCTGCTTGGTCCGGGTGCAAAGCCACGACCTCAGTCACTCTTGGAGGCCCAACGAGCCCAGCGCCGAAGGTCTCCTCATCGGCTTTAAGGCTGGAGCGGCGCTGCAGTTGAGAATGCTCTCCTTGGCTTCCGCTGCGAGCCGTCCACATTCGAGATCGTCCTCATGCGCCTCAGCCCATTCTTTGTGCCAAACATAAGCGCCGGTGCTGTCTTTGCTTACTTACGACTTACGACACTTCGCAGCTTGTTTTTGCAAAGTTTCTGCCCACTTTTCTGAATCTTTCGACCCATCTGTCACTGTCACGGCAGCTTCCATGATGGCGTCATCCTCCATCTCGGCTGCGTGCTCCCCAGCGGCTTCATCGTCTTCCTCGTGTGTTTGGAGCCCTTTTCTTGTCCAGCGAAGATCTTGGGCTCGCTCACGAGCGTGCTCAAAGGCACTCAAGTTCCCCAGGTTGCCCAAGCTGTCGAGGCCGTCATTAGCTTCGCCCCACTGACTCTGCAGACAACTAAGCCAAGTGACCAGTGCAGGCGTGATGATCAAGCGCAGGTGTCCCGGTCGACAAGGTACGATTGAAGGGTCGTGGGCACAGTGGAGATGGCTGTGAAAAATTGGGTTGCGCCAGAATATACCGTTGCGCCATTTGCGTTCAACGGACTGGAGCTCCAGCAGTCTTGGCTCCAGTACAACCGCAGGAATGAGATTCAGATTTACAAGCTCCCAGGCCAGCTCGCCCTTCCCGCCGGCTACGTCCAAAACGCCGCTGCCGGCACGCAGGCGCTGCACCCCGAAAGAGTCCAGAAGCCACCTCTGCGAGGAAAATGCAATTCTACGCGCATGTGACTAGCCAGTTTGGAAAGAAACCCACTGAATGCGGACCTTCGCAATACCGATGCTTTGCTGTAGTTCTTCACCTTGCTCGGTCATCGAATGGTCAAGGAGCACGTCCACACACATTCTCATGCCCTCTTGCGGCCATCGAAGTGTTGGGAAGCTGGCCCCATTCCGCCTTCCTTCCCCTCCTCAAGCAAAAGACACGGCAGGAATGCTCCCTCTCTTGCCTCAACAGATCGCCTGCTGCAGCGCACACGCAGGACACCTGAGCCTCGCGCGATTTGCAATCTTGGTGTTTGGACGCTGTGCTCGAGATCGTTGCCTTCGGAGCGCATCCTGGCCAGCCTGTTCATCTGCTTCGAGAAAGAACCCGAATCTAGCTTGGGCAGGGGTGCCACCAGCACTCAGCACTCGGGAGTGGCGATTTTGACGCCACCTCACCGACTGCAACATGTAAGACCTGCATTTAAAGGTATCTGTGTTGTGCAGTTCCTCTCCGACCAGGCCGCTACATCTTAATAACAAGACAAGCCATAGGAAGCTTCAGGAATCAGGCTAAGTTCTAAGGCCTCTGAGAATCGAAAGCCAAATCTCTCGCCTCCGGAGGATGAGCAAAGAAGCAGTCTTCACCATAGAGGCAGCATCCGGAGCGTACGAAGTGCTTACACAGCCTCCACAGGCGAACAGGGCGCAAGCGCTGCAGCATTCAAGAAGCTGCACCAAGACATTGGGCCAAGCCGCGGCACAGGAGGAGGGCCCAAGCGCTGTGCACACGGCAAGTGAAGCCAGCAAAGGGAGCTGCGCTTTAGGCCTGGGCGACCTTGGGGTTTGCCGATACGTTGGAGCTCGAAAGTTCTAGGCGCGAAGATGAGAGAGTGGCCTTCAACGGGATAAATCTCATCCCCAGGCAGGATCCTGGCCACGGCAAGCAGGAAAAGTCGTGTCTCAAGCCAGCTGCAACACACTTGGGTTTGCGATGCATGCGGCTTCGGCGCTGTTGCTGGCACTCGAGACATTGGGAGGCCAGGTGCGCGCGGCGCATCCTCGCCACACCCTGTTCGCGAAGCTCCTGCACGACACGTCGCGAACACGAATCGTCGTTGTTACAGTTATAAGGCCACCAATGTGCAATCAGTGATGAGGCCTGTGGAAGATCAACGCTTTGAGGTGGTGCATGTGGTTCCCTGAGCTGAAACATAGCTTGAAGAAGTTGCTGTGTTATTACAGCATGAGCAGCTTGGATCACCCAGTAAATCCCAGTAACAGGGCTCAGCGAGGTCTGTAAGCATCATAGCCGGCGCCCTGCTATCTTATGCCATTCGAACTCTGTGGCCATGCATGGTGCCTTCCCGAGCTTCAGGGAGTGGTAAAGCGGAGGGCCAGACAGGCCACGGTCTACAGATCGGAATCATTCAAAAGCAATATGCAAGAAGCCCAACCCTGTCTTGGCCGTGTCGCACAGGCTCTTCAGCCATGGCGACAACCAGTAGCAGCACACTGGCGAGGGTCAGCCCATAGAGTTGAAGGACATACTTGCTTTCTTAAGCTGCCGGTTCTTTCATACAAACTTGCACCTCAGGAGCTTTGAAAGCTGACACATCGCAGGATGTATTGCAATCTGACAATCTTACAGATACAACTTTCGAGTGTCGGTTTTCCAACCGACCCTGTTGCCAAGCGAGACCGACATGAGGAACAAAAAAAGACTCCGGGTTCAGGAAAGGGCAGGGAATTTTCAGTGCACAAAACCTGCAACTGCATGGTTGACTTTTCTTCTGCAAGGCCGTGCTCTCCGAGGGGCTCGAATCACCGAGACCTTCAAGCAGTGAAGGTCCGGCTGTGCAGAAAGCATAATTACAGAAACTCGCAGAATCTCGTAAGCTATTCATCAACGCACTTTCGAAAAAAAACGAGCAACACCTGCCGGAACCCCGCCTGGATGGTCCGAAAGGGTCCGGTCAGTTTCACCGACGCCACTGTTCACCATCGCGTGTCCTCCACAGACAGATCCAGAGTCCTTCCCCATCCGCTGGCCGATGTCCACGACAAGTGATGGGCGCATTGCTACAGCGGAAAGCCACCTGCCATCGCAGCATCTGCCGGGCTGGCGTCCTGCGGCAAACGAAATCCTAGTTAAGCACGGCTTTGTCAGCCCAGGTCCTCACACCGCCGGGGGAGTGTCGAAACTTGCTTGGCAAGCCAGGGCCTTGCAGAGAAAGCAAAGCCCTCTCTAAGCGAATTCGATGCCAAGGGCACTGCTTGAAATTCACTCCCCGGATGAAGCGAGAGTACAGGTTCTGGCCTCGGAATGACGGTGTCAATACTCAAGCATGAGACAGTGGGGCGACACCGAGCACAGAGCAATCATTTCGCGAGATTTGTGAGAAGGGGCCTCGGGAAAAGGCCCAGACCGAAAACTGCGGCTTGAAAGCGCAAGTCGGAGCCGCACCGACAGGCTGCAAAGATGCAAGGAAAGAGCTCACATCGAACGTTGCACCTGAGGACAAGTGAATCTGGGGCTTGCGTTGGCATCGGGGCCGACTCATGCCTCCTGCAGCTCCGGTTGTCAAAGCTTCGAGGTGAGGTAGAAACCTGGGCAGTGGAAACTTTGACTCTTTCTTGTGTTCCTGCATGCCCGAGTGCCCAACGGACGAAGGAATGCCAGCGTTAGCTCCTCGTTGGAATTTGATGCCCAACCACGCACCCTCTGTTGAAGCGCCCTATGGAGAATCTTCCCTGAGGCCCTGGCGTAGAAGTAACCTGTCATTTTCTTGGTCGTCTGGTGCACATGCATGCTCGAGCTTTCGATTTACAAGCTACACCATCAAAGTAGGAGTACGTATTAGTAGTTCTCGGAGCTTGGGACAGTTGGGACCAATCTACCAAAAATGCAGCAGTTAGAAGCATTCCGTACATAAATCCCAAACTTGCCGGCCGGCGAAGGACGGTGTCATCCTGGTCCACACAATCCGATGCCTCGCCGAAACATAAGTCCGCACAGCTAGCCCTAGACATCTTCGGAAAGCATGGCCTTGATACGCTGCAGCAGCTCCGCATCGGCATCGAGCACCCTACTCCAGCAAAGGGTGGAAAAAGATAACAGAATCAGTCTTAAATCTCTGTAGTCACTCTGGTCACTCTCTGGTCACTCTTGCCAGCATCGCATGCAGGCCGCACCCCAGGCCAGTCGGAGGCAGTTCTGGTTGTGCATATCCACGACCTTGTGGAACTGAGCGTGGCCAAGCTAAGCGATTGGGCTGCATTCTGCATGATCCGAAAGAATCACAGGCACGCGAAGGTCTCGCTGCCGAGCCCCAGGCCACTCCCAGGGACACGGCGAGCTCGCTGCAGCCTGTCCTCGTCGTCCATAAAACATTCCGACACAGGCACACTGAAGAATGCAAAGGTCGCTGAAGACAAGAAACTCCGGAATCGCTCTGCACCTTTTGGTCCAACTTGCAGAGACTTCAACACATGCTGAAACGTGTCAGGACCAGGGCAATGCATCCCCACCAAACCGTCAACCGAGCAAAGGCCCCCTCTTGACCATAATACTCGTCAACAAACAACTCGTGATTCACTGATGCATTGCATGTCTTGCCACTGGGGGCATGATGGCTCAGCCTCATCAAAACATGCTCACCTCTGTGGGCACTCGCATGACAGCAGCACCAGCACACCAGCTGTACCAAGAGATCGTGTGAAGCACGAGCACCTCAAAATGCCGTCGACGCACTTAGAACTGGTCCTTCACCGCCTTGACCGGAAACGCCTTCACCACGGTCTTGGCAGGTTGAGCCTTCACCTTCACCTCTTTTCCGAACATCATCCGCTTGCCACCCTTCGTGGCCTTCTTCTTGCGGGTCTTGATCATGACAAGTCCGGGAAGGGTGAACTTCCCCGCCTTCTTCAGCTCCTTTGTTCCGATGTCCGCCAAGGCATCGAGCAGTTGCATCACCTCGCTCTTCTTCAAGCCCGCGCTCTCGGCCAGCTGGCCGGCAATCTCACCCTTCGGAGCGGCACGGGCTGCTTTCATCGCCTTCATGGACTTCATCGTCTTCATAGCCTGTGCATCAGAATTAC